AAGATACATTCTTAAAATAATATTATTACATAAGTATATTATAGAGTTAGAGAAAATATGAAAAATATTTTCAGAGTTCAACAAATATATTTATATTGTATTTTTGCTTATTTTATATATAATTGCCTTTACATTTAAGACTTCAGTGGTTGAATTTTTCCCATTTATTCTTTAACAGCTCGAGCAGATTTCAAAAATTTTCCCTCATAAAATTAGTATAAGTTCTTAGAACCTTTCCTCTACTAAAGTTTTAATTACAATGTCCATATTAGGAACATTTGCTTTAGAGCCCTTCTCAAGGTTTATCTATGCTCTTAAAACGGCAGAAAAAATTCCAAATAAAAAGTGTGAATTTTTTTAAGCCAGCTCAACCATTACTCGTACTCCTTAAAAAACAGGGTAGGCACCGGCTATTTTTCACAAAAAAGTACAAATAAGAAAAGGATCCACTTGCATTATATGAGAGAGCTTCTATATAAGTAAATTAATATCATGATAGGAATTTTACGTACATACATACATACATATTATAGTGGTGCTTTACAATAAAATTATTGGTCGCGGTAGCGGTATATTATAAATAATTAAGACAATATTGCAATGATTTATAATAACATTGCAATTTCACAAAAATTCAATCAGTATAGCACTGCATCTGTATCAAATTCAGTAAACAGATATTATTATGTTCGAAGCTACATGAATATGCAAGTTAGTTATAAAGCAGATACATAATTTGAAAAACGCATGTGAGTTGTTAACGAACAAGTAATTTCACAAAACTACCGCAAATATTTTCTTTTTACTTATACACAAAATCAAAAAACCTGATATGATCAGCACGTAACTTGTATATTGTGTAGATTAGTAAGAATATTCCAGAAGATTATGAAAATGCGTTTTAAACACTTCTTTACAATTTTAAGGACACTAATAAGCTTTTAGATAACATACCTAGAAAAATGTGAATTTGGCTTTTAGGAGAGTTTCATTTTGTGCCGTCCGAATTACACGAAAAGTTCGCCAGTAACTTCTGGTAATAACCAGAGCTCAAATATTAAATTTAAAGAAATTCCATCGATTCGTTCCGTAGATGTGGTAAAAAATGTAAAATCGGGCCCCCGATCAGTTTCCGAGTCCTGATCTCTCCAAAAAATTTATAGATTCATTGTTTTAATAAACCTCCGGTTCCTAACGCCTGATTTCTTCCAAAAGTCAGAAGGCTTCGCGAACGGTCGAGCGAAGCTTATATATCAAATTTCAAGTAAATCTGCTGAATATTTTTTTCATAATGACCAAAAATTTAAAACAGACCCGCTAAAAAACCACAGTTTCCGAGGCCTGATATATCCCAAAAGTTGATCAATCTGTGCCATAGTCGAAATAAACTTACATATGAAATTTCATCAAAATCGGTTCAGCTGAAATTGAGATACACGCGTGCACACACAGACCGACAGATTGCTAAAAATAGTTTATTTACACTTCCCTACCATGAAGAAGTGCGCACCGATATGCAAAATTTGAATACGAAGTCCCACCGAAAACTCGATATGCAAAATTTGTTGCCATCACACGATCTAACCATTGTATACACAATACGGTCGGTAAAAAGTACTTGAAAGATAATCAATACTAGCAATACTGTATGCGTGTACAGTAATTGATCGCTTAAAGTACTTTTTGTCAATGGTAGTTTACGATTTTAAGCGACATAACCCAAAGCAAGATTGGAAACTAAATTACTCAAAAAATATTAGATTTAAAAGGAACTAATTATTTATTTAATTATAATCAAAAATATAATTATTTTTCTTAACTCAGGTAATTCCAGCATTATATTAAACCCTTGTTTTATTTCAAAGATTGCTAACACTGATCATCCTTAAGATAGATGAATGACAATAATTCTAATAGCTAGATTGTTTTTAAAATTAGTGTGTTCACTTGTTGAATATCAATATGTATTTTATGTATATTACTAAAATTTACATTACGGGTGTGTTTTTGAAGAAAAAAGTTAACTTAAAATACCTCACACGTACGAGTAGAATGGAACATAATTCCAAAACAACAGACATAATACTTGCAGTGCTTGCAATATTGTCATTCCAAAACAACAGACATAATACTTGCAGCACACACGACTAGTTATTTTAGTAAAATGCAAAAGTCTAAATTTGGAGTGTGACAACTAGGATATTATAATATTTTAGAAATTTGAACCTGAAATAAGATCATTGCTTCATATTGAAAGCTAAAATAAAAGTAAATATTTTGTATTAAAATTAAAAACACTTTATTTATCACAAAAATTCAAATACTGCTTATGATAAGAAAAAAATGTCATTTTAAAAATATTAAATTTTTCAGCGGAAAAATTTCTTTTGTCGGTAAACTAATCTAGGAAAATCTAAAAGAGAGAATTCATATCTTTTTCAATTGAGCGAAAAACATTTCTTGTACTACCAGTCTGGACCTAGAAGGTCTATTGAGTAATCAAGTCTTTAACCTTAATTTTTTGATACTTTTTATTTGTAACAATATTGGATGGAATTTTAGCATACGCGGATGTGAAAAAAGAACCTTTATGGCTGAAAGTTTCAAAATTCACAGAACATTGCCTCGTTAAATCATTTTAACAACGACGATTATTTTCAATCTATTAAACGTTTATTCTATAATACCATATATTCTATAATAAATTTTTGCTGAAGATGTATTTGCGTATAAAATTTCAGCTTTCTTTCTTCAAGGGTGTAGAAGTTTTGTAACGGGTCCAAGGACGGACAGACGGACGAAATAAAAATAGCAAACACTTTGGAAAAGTGCTAAAAAATATCTCTTTCTAATGCACAATATGTGCTTTTTGAGAACTTAGAGTATACTATTTTTTTCTCGAGCAAATTCTAAAAATTAAATTTAAAAAAATATTATTCAATTTTTTTTGTTGTATGTTTTTTATTTAATGTTAATTTGTTAACAAAAAATAAATAAATTTCTAAAATAATTTCAATTTACATTTTTACATCGAACATTTCTTTTAATCGCTCAAAAATTTATGTATCATATATACATATACATACATATATCAAGGTTTCTCACTCATTGATGTGTTAGTGCAAATAAATGGAAAAAAATAATTTTCTCCAACTGTAGTGAACGATAAAAAAATAGTCATAAATTATTAACGATAAAAAATAATATGTGAAATTAAAAAAAATTCATAATCAAATACATAGTTTTTATTTTGAAATTAAATTCGGAAATATTTCAGAATTTTACTTTTTTTTATTCACAAGCTTGATAAATGACACAACAAAAAAATTGGATTATTTTTTGAAACAAAATATTCCTTTTTTTTTTAAATTTAATTTTTAAAACTTTTCAGTGCAAAGTTTTGCTTTGATACATCAATACATCGACACATGAACTTTTGCACTAACCAGCGAAGATTACCATATTATCTTTTGTTTGTAGCAAGCTATAGTCATAGCAAGAAAAGGCAATACCTTAAGTTGGTTCTGTCATTTGGAAACATATTACATTTGACACTTGTTATTTCCCCTCCATATTTTCTACCTCTTACTTTTCAGCATCAAATGGTATAACCCACAACGATGGATTGGCCTAAGATTCCACAACAAACATATATTATAATTAATTTTTTAAAAAAATGTAATATTAAATAAATTTAGATCAAACCATGATAAGGTAGCACTTTTCCTTTGAACAACTGAAAATATTTCTGTTAAAAAACAATGTACTAGCTGAATATTTCGACAACTTTCATTAATATACCAAAATACACATATAGTGCCCCAAATATTGAAACTTTACAAAGGCCATTAATTGTGCGGAATAGCCAGGGAACGAAATAATGCACTCAAGTCAAATAATGCAAGTAGTCAAAATTTTCATTTTTAGAACTTTGAGGGGCTATAATTTTTAGAGTGCAAAATGGGTGAAACTTTTCAAATAATTCCAAACAAATAAGTTTCTATTAAAAATATATTTGTTTGTAAAATTTGCAGAGTGAAGCAGTAAGCATTTTATTTTTTTTGAAGAAGTGGAAGGAAAAGCCCAGAAACCGAAATTTTTCTTGGTATTTTTTGTGTAATTGCATTCCAAACTACTTGACAAAAACCATTGAGTCGCAGACACTTTGTATGTACACATATGTTAGTGTGATTAGGTCTTCCAAAAAGACATTTGCTACTGTATTAAGATAATTGGACAAGCTAAGAACAAATCAAAATTACTGCATTTTTCTGGCTAAAAAGTATAACAAAACTCAATAATTCAATCAAAGAATTTAAGAGCGGTAAATCAATTCAACATTTTACTTATAGATTTACTGAACAATTTATTATAACTGTAATTAGGGTTAGTAAAATAAATGTAAGTTTCTTTCCTGGACATGGCGACTAAGCCAAGCGTCTGGCTACAGATTTGATTTAAGCTAGAAAAATCATTTATAAGTTTTGTTAAAATTTTAAGCACTAATAAAAATAATTTAAAATAACAACATCCCAGAAAGATATTTTTAATTGAAAATTTACTGCAAATATATAAATTTTTACTGATCGTTTAATTTAACATTGCACAAAAAATGATTAATGACGAAGCGGTATTGCGTATATAAAATTACTGGTGTAGAATGCTTGTATGTAATACAATACATTAGCAAATTTAAATGTTTAATATATGGTAAATAAATGGTTAATAAATTTATTATCCCTTAAATATTTGTACAGATACCTTTAAACAAAATTTCTTCACTAAGCACGAGTTGTCAATACTTTGATCAATAATTTCTCTGAATATAAATGGGTTAAGAAACTTTTTATTTTCCACACATTTAAGAAAATATTTTTGAATTTTAGAAAAATTTTCGGGATATAAAAACCGACACAAATTCATTACTATCATCAATTTCGGTTTGCTGTTGAAGAGCGAAATTACTTCAGTAGTTTTACTAAAATCGAAATAGCAACACAATGAAATTTCTGTCTTGCTTAGTTTTTGGTATTATCTTGGTTGCTGAGGTAAAAGACAGTCATAATTTACTAAAAGCCTTTTATAAACTATATTTTTTACATTGAACCATGCTTCTTCCATCACTTGTTTTTAATATTTTATTTATGTAGACATATGCAACAACTCCAGCATGTTATGGCCCACCAGGAGAGCCGGGAGATCCAGGACCAGATAGCACAATTACAGGTGACCCAGGTCATCCTGGGCCTAAAGGCCAGAAAGGTCCTCCTGGCCAAGAAGGTCCTTGCGGTCCAGCAGGCCCCAACGGTTTACCAGGGCTCACAGGAGATCCAGGAATACCAGGACCACCAGGTGCAACAGGGAAGAAAGGTTTTAAAGGATACTGCGGTCCAATGGGAGCTAAAGGAATAGCTGGCGACAAAGGTGATCAAGGACTACCTGGTGCAGAAGGAAATCCCGGTCCTAATGGAGATCCAGGAACCCCAGGTAATCCAGGACTTAACGGCGACGTGGGCGACCAAGGCAACCCTGGTCCAAATGGTCCACAGGGAGATGAAGGACCACAAGGTCCAGCTGGTAGTGATGGAGGTGTGGGACAACCAGGCGGTCCTGGTGACGTTGGTGATAATGGCGATGCGGGTGCAAAGGGTCAAGTTGGTCCAATAGGTCCACAAGGGCCAAAAGGGGCGAAGGGTTGTGTTGGCGAAAAGGGTTCACAAGGACCAAAAGGCGCATGTGGTGATCCTGGAGATCCAGGACAGCCAGGAGCTCAGGGAAATAAAGGGCAGCCTGGTGACCAAGGCTGTGTAGGATCATATGGCGACAAAGGTGTAAGTGGAGATCCTGGTGATCCTGGTGCTCCAGGTGATGTAGGAGCTCCTGGAGTTAAAGGAGTTAAGGGTTGCAGAGGACCAAATGGAGATCCAGGTAACCGAGGTGAACCAGGAGATCCGGGAGCCCCAGGTGTCTGCACAGTGTGTAGTCCAAGTCCTGCTCAATGTAAGAGTGCGTGCGCTAGTGCTTGCCAAGCTAAATGTGGTCTTTTCAACTAATCTTATACGAAAGAATTAAAAAACTCATAAAGGAAATATCCCAAGATCTAAAAATTAATTTTAACAATTAAAAACTCGAAGTTAACTTACTATGTATGTAAAAACAAAGATGAAATAAAAACTTTCCCTGTTGAATAATTGAAAGGAAAAATACTATGGAGAAGAATTATTTTTATTTTATTTTATACAAAGTAATGTGAAATGAAAGTTATTTGAATAAAAACCTTAACATTTAGATATTTTTTTTTATAAACAATTGTCGACTCATGATTCATCCGAAACTTTAACTTTATTGAAATTGAAAGATCAAAATGGTATTTGAGATCGTTTTGTATTTAAATGTCTGGCAAATGATGCCGGTTTTATTAAAAGGTCATCTGATTGATTTTTTCTAGTGATTAAGTTCCTTTAACTACTTACATCAAGTACTTTTGCATTATTTGATACCTTACAAATAAATGGCCTATTTTAGATATTGTGTTGTAATGTTATATAGGAACAGGGCTCAATAACTGGATCCTTTGACAGAGAAAGACTGGTTATCTTAAGAGAAAATAGTAATATACACATATTTTTTATAGTGGTGCATTGACAAATATATATACTATATGTATATGGTCGTTTCCAAGGAAAAAAAAATTTCCACAATTCGGTTGATCGGTTTGGAAGGTAGGGGTCCTAAAACCAAATTTGTAAATTTTTGTGAAAGCCAAATTTTTTTGTTAGACTTTATTAAAATTTTATTACGACATATTATAACTTTGTATAAAAAGCATATATGTATAACTATAACTGTTAAATTTTGTATAAAACGTGGAATAATACGCTACTCAACAAACATAACTTCATATAATTATATAGTACATTGAGTTCAGATATAACAGAAACTGAAAAGTTTTAACTTTTAGACTTCTTTAATTGGTTGTGGTCTTGTAGAACAATTTTTTTTCTTACAAACGAAGATCCGCACTCCGATAAATACCAACCAATGCTGCATAGTGATAATTTTTAAAAAAATCTATTTGTTTAATGTGAACTGCGATAGAAATCTACTGAATTTGTGCAGAAAAATTATAATGTGTACGCATGTATAACAAAAAAAAATCCAATAAAACATTGCAAATTTTGGTATTTTAGCTAATAGTAAAATTTTCTAAACATGGTACTTTAATTAAGCATTCATAAATTAATTTAATTTTTAAATGTTCTGGTGCACCGTAAGGTATTTTAAATAAACAATCTTCACATTGCACAGAAGGGGATCATTTTGTAATAGTTATAAAAAGCACTCCAGTTATTTTTTAGTACAAAACCATCTAATAAAATAAGAAATGCGCATACTAATTTGCTCGAAAAAATGTTTGTATTCAAAAGCAGATGGTGCCTAGTGAAAAAATTCCTCTAAAACCAAATTTCAAAACAAATTTTCACAGCATTTTGTAGATTTGGTAAAAGAAAACAGACCATGAATTTTTTCTTTTATCACAAGAAACAGTGTTCGAATACTGAATTGGCATTTTAAACTAATCCTTATGTCAAGGGATTGTTTTCAATTTTAACACTTATAACACCAAGTAAATAAAAGCTCCAAATTTAAATTGTTAAAGAAAACTTGTTATTTTAAAAACCTTAGATTTGATCGAATACATTTTTCATAATAGAAATAAAAAAGCGCATTTTAGAATGAAGCGTAGGCTATAACTCTTTTTCCCATTTTTATTTAAACGTTCAAGTGCCATTTTTCAACATAAGCGCTAAAAAAATTGGAATAAGAATCCTCTTAATATGGCACTTAAGAAAATTAAGTAAATAAGTAAAATATTGTAGGCGCCCTGTATATGTTAGCCTGTCTGTACAATTAAACTTCTGTTTTGAATATTGTCTTATTGTAAGTGTGGCGGGCACATACCTTAAATAACTATATTTTACAAATTTGGTTTTCTGTATTTTTTCTCAATATATTGTGGATGTATAAACAAAAATATATAAAATTTGAAATCGTATTGGCATTAAGGAAACATATTGTTCAAAGATATTGCAATCCCTTCTATAGAACAATTCAATACTATATAACAATTGCAGTTTCAATACTATATGTACATATCTATATACGTATGCATATATATGTACATGTACACAAAACCATTCTTGTACAAATAGAAATTTCATTTTTATGCAAAATTCAACTGTGTAAATTGTTAATATTTATTATGTTACATTATGTCATTGATTCCATTTTCTTCTTTTCAAGGTCTGATAACTTTATACATAGACCCATCCTTCAATATAAAAATACATTAAAACATGTGTCTATGTATACATATACCTAAACATATATACATATATGTGTATAATATAAATCTAGCAACGTGCATCAACATACATCACACATTCTTTAAAGAAACGTTTTTCAAACAATTCTACCCAATGCATATAGACTGTAAATTTGGCATATTTCTGATCAGGCCATCGTTTAAAAATTTTTTATTCTATATAAATTTAGCGTGCAAATACGCTTATACACATACATGTAGCGTGAAAGCACAAATTAAGAATCTGTCTCGACCAAATAGCCGTTTGGAAGAACAAAAAGAATTTTTTTTTTATTTCAATTATTTAGCCAAAAAAGCTATTTATTAGCAATTATAATGTATATGATACATTTCAAAAAATTTAAAAAAATCCAAAGGTTAATAATTGCAAGATTTATCAATATAAACTATAAAAAACTAAATAATATAAACTAAATTAAGGTGTTGAAAATAGAAAAATTAAGAATTTGTATTTTGTAACAGTATGTACTCGTAAACATCACAAATAGAAAATTAAAGTAAATTTACCTATTATAAATAAAATGAAAAATTTTAATTAACCACATTGATCAATTTAAAAATTCTGCTTGCAATTCAATATTAAATCATTATTTTTTTAAATAAAGTCTCATTTATTTCAGTCTTCAATTATAATGAAAAATCATTGAAAATCTTAAGCCCATTTAACATTATCGATCTTTTATCATTTTTATCACGAAAGAAGTTCAAGCGAAAATGGATAATGCTTCTCACCAAATAATGTTGAACAGCCTCGATAAATTATATCAATCTACGGTATATATATATATATTGTTAAAGCATATTGTGCTTCATTATAAACAAACAATAAAACATAAAGTTTTAAAGGCTGCTTAATACTCAACCACTGCAAAGTTTTTAACATATTTTTAATTATGGCATATTTATTCAAGTAGTATTCTTATTCCCCAGTTCTCCAAACGTTGAGTCTGGAGATTAGAGTTGGACGCTTTCCTTTACTATTTCTTTTACTTTCCTTTAGCGCTTAATTTTACTATGCTGCATCACGCAATTGTTATTCTTAAGCAACTAATTAATTTAAATAAAGTACAGAAATCAATGCATTACAACATTTTACATCTGAATTTTAAAAATAACTACAATTTGTGAATGTGTATGCTGATTGTAGTTATTTCAGCTTTTGTATTTGTATTAGAGAATACTTTTGCCCAGCTTTGCAGAGAAGAGGTGGTTCATAGCCAATAATAATACAAGAAACTTTTGTTCTTTCACTTTCATTTTTGTAGATCCTTAAGGGACGAAAAGAACCTCAAAAAAAAAACTTGAAAGTTTTTATTTTTAAAATGAGATACATATTCGTAGAAAATCGCTACATGGTTCCGGAGATATAATTATTTATTTTATAAAATTCACATTTTAAAACTACAGAAATTAACATTTAATTTGTAAAATGAAGACTTTTTTTGAGAACAAACAAAAAGAACAGTTCGGTTTTCAGAACTAGAAGTTCATGAACGAAAAATTACTTCAAAAATTCAAACGAATATTAAGTTTATTTTAAGTTTAATTTTTATTTATGTGAAATTAAAGCAAAAATTGAATCTTTATATAGCAAAACCCTTAAAAATTGATTTTTGAGAAATATAAATGTTTATATTATTCAGAACGTGAGATATATGTAAATATATAGGATGTTTTGCCAGATTAAAGATAAGAAAGAAAATTTTTTTAAATTAATGAAAAAATAATATGTAATACCGTAAATCAATACCATAATACCGTATAAATAACAATTATTCATTTTTTTCAAAAAACCCAGTAACCCAGTATATCCGGGTTTAACAGATATTTTAGCAAATTATGAAGTGTGTACCATGGTTGAAAACGAGGTCAACTTAATTTTTATAGGAACTGTCTTTTATACTGTGAAGTCTAATTGGTGCGACAGTCGAGCATGTGTCCAAATAAAATTTGTGCAGTTAACCGTTTTGTTTTCAACGACATGTTTCATATTCACAGGGCCTTGTCGGATACAAAAGTAATTTCTCAGAAAAATTTACTTTCCAAATTTTTTAAAATCTTTTCTATATCTTTCATGTAATTGTACACCCTGTGCAGAGCTGTTTTGATCTTAATTTTACTACTGAGCTGTTTTTTTAACTTGACACTGTTCCGATTTTACTTCAAACTTCAATATGCATGACTTTCCAACCAATTAACAAGAGTACTTTACTGATGTTGAAAGGTTAACTAAAGGCATCTGATTTTCTAAAAAAAAACAATTTCGAACAAACATATGTATTCTAAAATTCTGGCAATCTTATAATGCTGAATACAATACTTTAAAAGCTGTTTTTCTTACAGAGGTCAAAAGGGATCTTAACTGCACGTTTTTTTACTGATCAAAAAATTAACTCCATTTTTTCTTTTCAATTTTAAAAAACATTATATACTTATTTATGTGTAATTATTTACAATAAAGGCAGAATATTAAAATTGTTTACGTGTATTTGTGCATTAAAAGTCATCCATACTTCATTGATTAAAAACAAAGCACGAGATGTCAACAAAATTCTGAATTATACGGTTCTCATATTATTGGTAAAAAAATTTTTAGTATAAAAGCGATAGTTACAATGAAAATAATTATCACTTTCAGTTGGACATTCGTAACGTTGCTTTACATTCTTGAAAGTTCATCATGAAGGCATTTATAGCTTTAATCTCTTTCATATGCTTTATTGAGGTGTATTTGTTTTACATATAAATTAAATAAAATTCTTGTAATTTTACAAAAATACTAATTTTAAAATTTTGTACAGATGACTGGCATTGCATACGGTCAGACGCCATGCATGTGCTGTCCATGCCCTCCAGGGCCAAAAGGGGATCCAGGTCCCCCACCAGATCCGAGTTCCTGTCCGCCAGCTCCAAAAGGTGAATGTGGAACGGCTGGAAATCCTGGAGCAATCGGCGATCCCGGCCTCCCTGGAAGCCCAGGTCTACCAGGCATTCCTGGCGCTAAAGGTGGCGTAGGATGTGACGGTAGTCCAGGACTTCCGGGAACAAATGGAGCTCCGGGTCCAAATGGACCACCAGGTCCTCCCGGTAAACAAGGCTGTAAAGGAGCACCTGGAGATGCTGGAAGTCCCGGAAATCCTGGCGGAATCGGTCCTAAAGGATCAAATGGACCAGACGGCGATAAAGGTGATAAGGGATGTCAAGGACCTGTTGGTCCAGTAGGCGACAAAGGAGATATAGGACCTGTAGGACCACCAGGTGCAAATGGAGATCCTGGTGCTGATGGACCAAAAGGAAATCGTGGACCAAAGGGTGAAGTAGGTGACAACGGAGACCCAGGTATTATTGGACTACCTGGAAACCCTGGAGATGTTGGAAGTTGTGGTGCAAAGGGAGTCACCGGATTACCGGGTCCAAATGGTCCAAAAGGTAATCCAGGAGCACCTGGTGATCAAGGTCCAACTGGTGCCAAAGGTTCTGTTGGAGATAACGGTGATAAAGGAAGTCAAGGTCTTAAAGGCGCAAAAGGCGAACCTGGAGATAAAGGAAAAACCGGTCAAAAAGGAGCTGTTGGTACCCCAGGAGCACCTGGTGCACCAGGTGACAAAGGTCAAACCGGACAGAAAGGACAGCCTGGACCAAATGGAGTATGCCCAGATATATGCAAACCAACAAAATCTAAGTGCTTGGCTCAATGTTCTGCTAGATGCAATGCTAATTGTAATATTTAATAAAAAATATACTTTTTATTATTGATAAAATAAATAATAATAATGGCCAAGTGAAAAGACACATTTATACTAAATATGCATTGAAATATTGAAAAAATTTAAAAAGAAAATCTATAAACTCGAATAATATTTTTATAAAGTATATAAATGCCGATTTTTTAACATTGATGAAATCCTATTAACTGAAATCAATAAAAATGTGGTTAGTGATTAAAAACTAAATTTTGGTTTATTTCTTATTTATCTCAAATTCATTTCAAATAAGTCCTTGAAAGAAAACACGTAAATACATACATAGTTGAAAATATTTTCTTATTTCATAAGGCAATAGCATAAGGTTTGAAAGAAATCGATGTAATATTGATTCCAAATGCAGTTTACTTTAATCTTTTTGACCGTTTTAATTTCCCAAACTTAATGATATTGCATGATGTAAGCACATTATGTGCCAAATCTCCGAGAAAATGTGGATTAAAGAATCTTCACGAAATTTCTGCTTGTCCCACCTTTCTTTTTTATACTTAACTTACTTCCGAGAGAAATACCTAGCAAAATGTGAATTTGGCTTTTACTTAACTTAATGAGAGAAATTTCAAAAAGATAGTTTTTGAAAGAACTTGCAATTATTTAAGTATTATATGTACTTTCCGTAACACAAGCTTTTGAATTTTAGAAAAATTCTAATTTTTTTTTATTTTTGTATCCCGATAATTTCATGTGAAATTTTTAGAAATTTAAAAATTTTTATTTACAGAACTTTGCCCAGCTTTTTTAACTTAAATTGAATTTAAGCCATTAATCATACCATTTTTGTGGTGTTCGAGGTACAGCAAAAAAACCATTTGTAATTCGAGATTTTAAAGACATTGTCAAAATGTATAAAGTCAAAAAATTATTACCATATTTTATTTTTATTAATTTTAAACGGTCTCGGTGACCGTTAAGATTTGACACCTAGTTCTGAAAAAAAATTTTCTCATTTTTCATGTCCTAAACAATGGTATATGTATGTTATGACATTGATTACCGAATCATCCTGTATTAATAATATATACATATATATATATATATATACAGGATTATATGTATTATATTTTATATATTAAATAAGTATATTTGCATACATATACTTATTAAATGCATATACGAAATTTTAAAAACATCTCATAAAAAACTTGCAATCGATAAAAACCAACATTTTTGATCTTCTGATCGCACAGTTAAACTGCAATGCCCTAACCATCTTTACAACCTTTGTATACAACCCTAAAGCTGGCATGTACTCATATTTTACTCTTTTGATAAATAACAGTGTTGGAGATGTGTATGTACAGACCTTTAATACGAGATGATATTTTAACGGCAGAATGATGCAGTGGATCAAAAAGTAATGTGCTTTACATTCATCTTCCTTCTAAAATTATTTAATCTTTAAGTAGTCTTAATGTAAAATGTTTGTTTTTATTCTTTGAAAGGTGAAGCGGGAAATATCACAAATAGAGTAAGCAATAACATGGTGTTATAGGAAATATATATTTCTTAATTAATATGTTCCGTTGTACTTTTGAATAATGATTTAATAGAACCAATATAAAAACAAATATGACGACATATTTAACACAATAACTATGACAATCACTGAAATAATAAAACAATACAGAAATTTCTGATAATCTAGAAAGTTGGAGCCCAGTTTAATGAGCTAAAATGTTTAATATTCTTATCTTGGCTCATTCCTTTTCCCAATCCGTCTATTTCTTTTTCAGTTATGAAATATAAGCGGATTCTCATCGTTTTTCTCTCACTATAACGTAGGCCCTTGTTTTCAAAATAACTAAATTTTCTCATTTTATAGACAAATTATTACTGAGATTTTCTTAACAAGTTTGATACCAAAATGATTCTGGTACCAAATAGAACAGAACCTTTCATTGAAATTCTGAGTAAACAATTTAAAAAAAAGTGATTAAAACTGTTTTTAAAAGTTTTGATTTTGCACTGAAAAATAAAGAAAATAGCTTTCATTTTGCTTCACAAAATAAAAAAAATCCGATAATACACAAATCTTTTAACAAGCAGTTCAGTTGTAAGTAATACACAATGAAAATTTCAATCTGGCAAATATTTCTTTGAAAACATGAGCCACTATATTTATACCGATAGCATTGTCTATACAATAAGGTAGGTTGTGTGTTGTCATCAAATTTTGGACGTCAATTTTTCGGTGGGAACGCACTTCCCCATAGCAAAGATGCGTAGTTTAACGGGCCTATTTTACATTTTGATCATTTTGAAGAAAATACTCAACAGGTTAAACCTCCTAATTTTTGGAAGCAGCAACTGGACATTGACTGCGGGCCAAATATTTTTGCGTATATAAAGATTTCATTAAAATTTAATATTTAAATTCAAGGTGTCAAAACAATGAATGTATAAAGTTTTTGGAAATATCAGGGCTTGAAAACTCACCTGGGCGCCGATCTTACATTTTTTATCATATCCACGGAACAAATTGATGGAATTTTTTGAAATTTATTATTTGAGTTCTGGTGGTTACCAGAAGTTACTGACGAACTTTTTGTATAATTCGGACGGCACAAAACGAAACTCTACTAAAAGCCAAATTCACATTTTGTAGGTATGTCAACTAAAAGCTTATTAGTATCCTTAAAATTGTAAGTGTTTAAAACGAATTTTCATAATCTTCTGGAATACTTTTACTAATCTAGACAACATAAATTGCGGTCGGTTATGTGCTGACCACATCAGCTATTTTCTTTTCATTTCAATTTATTTATAATTTTTGTAAAAAAGTTTCATATGCATATGGATATTTCATTTACATATTTATTTTATATAAATCGCTTTTAAAAATATCTAATTTAACTCAACATATTATTTACATATTAAGAGATGGCCTCAGGATGTTTTTATTATAGCAACAGTAATTACAGATTAGGAAAGAACAATTCTTAACAATAGAAAATTTTACTGGAGACATCATTTTAATAACCACAAGATAAGTTTTAGATAAGTGTATTAAAACATATCTTTTCGTTATTAGTCCCTCTTTATCAATATAAAGTATTTAATGAACGTTCGCCATAAAATTCACACTCATTTTTGCAAAAGTTTTGCATGCAAAAAAAATAAAAAAGAAGAAGTTGTTTATTAAACTCAAAAATCAATATTTTAAATATTTAGAAATAGTTAAAAATCAAAATACCGAAAAGAAACTTCCTAATTTAAAGGAATGCTTATAAATCATCAAAATATCTTCATAAGTATGACTGAAACCCAACCAGAATGACATAGAAATACGTATGTACATGTGTATGTAGATGTCAATAGCAATTTTGGAAAAACAAGCTGATAGCATTTAGAATTACTAAGCGTCGCAAGAACATGGAAATACATTGAAACAAATTACTTTGTAATTTTATAAAATTATTCAGTAATATTTTATTATTCAAAAATTATATACATATACATAATTTTTTTATTATACAATTATTTTATTTATTCTCATTACAAATATTTATGATCGTGCAAATTAATAGAATTTAATATCCAATCAAACAAAATTTACAAAAAAAAAAGAATAATAAAAGTTATAATTATCATTAGGATCAAATATAATCAAAGGGAAAAAAAATTTTAAATATTTATGAAGAAAACATGAGGTATTGCGTTCGTTAGAACATATCGCTCTGCTGTAGAATCCACTGTATGTTTATGGTGCTGTGGTTATGCCAATTCTCTGAAAATGAAATGGAGCACCACTAAATACTGTGGCAGTAAAACTATAAATTACATACTTTTTAATAGATGTCATGGAAGTTACAGGCGGGAGGGGCATTCTTCTGTAACATTTCTTTCGAATTTTATTTGATTTTGTTTAGCTTTCGTTAACACCTAATCTTCTTTTATACCCGAGGGTCCGAAAAGTCGTGCTAAAAATAAAATATTGTAGCTGTTTACTTCATATTTCACTTATTAGAGAATTACATTGTAATATCAAATATACAATACAGTTTTTGATCTTACATTATTCTGTTAAAATAATTTTTCCGAAGCATCATTTTATGTTTTTTACGATTATTTTTGCCACAGACTTTAAAAAATATTTTTGAAATTTCTATAACATAGAAGAAGTTCAGGGAAAATTACGAAGTACCTGCAATTATTGGTACCAAAATATTTTGATGTGGAAATTTTTTTATCAAATTACTTTTGGGACGGACTACAAAATGAATTATTAAAAAAATTGCATTTGAAAAAATACTCATATTGGAGCAAATTGAAATTACGCAATACAATAAACAAATTTTTTTAGTATTTATCTATCAAAATCAGAAAATATTTTAAATTCAAACTTTTTTGTTGTCAAAATTGGAACAGATCGCATAAGAAATTTTTTTATCATTTAGAACAGGTATTCGAACATAAATATCGTATCAAATATAAATCAGAACCGCATCAAATATAATTACGGTTTTAACGTAGCTGTATGAAAAAAATACTGTCATAGCTAAAAAGTTTGTGCAAATTTTGAACAATGAAATAAAAAATTTGAGATGACTGTAATAAATGATTGGTTTAAGCAAATATTTAGTATTGTCTTTCGAAAAAAGTTGACTGGCATTTTTGTACAAATGCAAAACGAAATGTGAAATAAATAAAAATATGAATTCATATACATATGTACATGAATAAATATATATATACTCATATATATATATATACATATATATATGAATAAATATGAATGAGTAAGTAAGTATTTAAATTATTAACTAGGTTTAAGGTGGAATATATCTTACTCTAGAAAAAAATATCGGTGCAAATTTTTCATCTAAGAAACAGCGACAATATCTGGCAAAAAACTACATACATAAATCACGTAATGGCATTTGTTACGTTACCATTTCATTCAGTTCCTGGAGTTTTTATAAAAAAAAGTTCATTTATGATTTAATCTACGGAATTTTCTTCTCCAGAATATGCAAAATAACAACACAATTAAAAAGATCAAAATTTGTAAAAATCTTATAAAATTCAGAACCAAATTTAATTTTACTGCTGCATAAAAAAAACAAAAATTTTACCGGACAAACTGTTAATTAAAAACTGCAAGAAAAAATTCAACAAAATGTCTTAAACGTTTTTTTTATTTAAATAAAACAATAAAAAAGAACTACTAGTATGTTCACAACCAGATAATCATTTATTCTATTTACATATATACATATGTACATATTTACACAATATACTTATACAAAAAGATACCAAACACGAGTTGTCAATGTTATTCCAGCAAAAATAAAAAAAATGTTCCAAAATTCGTTGAATGGAGATATTTAATGCAGTTGTATTTGTTAATACTGCTCCAGCGGTCAATTTACATAGTTTATAAACCTAAAGGTTTGCTCTTTAAGGTATAAAAGCTGAATACAATTTAAAATTATTATCAATTTCAGTTCGACATTGGAGGACGAAATTAATTTTCAGTTTTTTGTAATTTATCGCAAAAATTAAAGCTATGAAAATTATTTGGGCTTCATTTTGTCTATTCGCGATAATTAGCCAGGTTGCTTAATTTATTTGTGAATGTTTTTTTAAAAAAATTAATTTTTTATCAACTCTCTTTATGTACTTTAACAATTTTTTTTATTTATAGGCATCGGCTATACCTGATACCGCAACTTGTACGGATTTACCTTGTTGTCCATGTTTACCAGGCCCAAAAGGATGTCCAGGTTTCCCTGGAACGTGTTATGCTGTACCTGGTATTGATGGAACACCAGGTGATGATGGCGACAAGGGCGATCCAGGTCCAGTTGGAGATCCCGGAGAAAATGGCGTCGCTGGTGTTCCTGGCAGAAAAGGAGATCCGGGCCCAGTCGGTGCTCCTGGATTAAGAGGAGACACGGGAGATCCAGGAGACCCAGGTCCAAATGGTCAAGATGGCGATTGTGGTTGCAAAGGAAATACGGGATCCCCAGGCGGTCCTGGACCAGATGGAGCTCCAGGAGCCCAGGGTAATCCTGGTAGTAAAGGAGAAGCAGGCCCATGTGGTGCTCCAGGCAATCAAGGACAAAAAGGCCAACAAGGACCTGCAGGAGATCCAGGTGTTAATGGAGTACCAGGTCTACAAGGTCCACAAGGACCTGACGGTACCCAAGGAGACAAAGGACAAAAAGGACAACCAGGAGCTCAAGGACCACCCGGACCTAAGGGCGAAACGGGTGATGTTGGACCAAATGGGGAACCTGGGGACATTGGAAAACCTGGTTGTCCTGGAGATGATGGACCCAAAGGACCACAAGGTACTGTTGGCGACTCTGGTGACAAAGGAGCAAAAGGTGAACAAGGCGGAACTGGAGATCCCGGATCTAAAGGTAAAAAAGGCGTTGCAGGACCAAACGGTACACCAGGACCAGTTGGAGCTCCTGGCGACCCAGGTGACAAAGGAAGCACTGGATCTACTGGATCGCCGGGTCCACTTGGTCCACCTGGTCCTAATGCTCAATGTCCAGTTCAAACACTTGATCAATGCGTGAAAGGATGTGCAAGCTCATGTTCAAACATGTGTAAAGCGGCTTTAAATATGTAAAAAACCTATATAAAACTATGTGTTGATAATTTTGAAGAATTTTTTTTAAAACTTGCCCTCGAATAAAAAAGTCGACCAATCATTAAAAAAAAAATTGCCAACTGTTAAAAACTGTGCGATAAATTTATAAGGAAGTAATGTATAATAAAGTACATAATATCTGATACAATTTTTAAAAGTTATTTGATTAATATAAAATTAAAATGGAAATTGAAAATGCAAAAAGAAAATTATTCTATAATAAAAGAAAAATTAGAGCCCAAAGGAAATGTATGTGTACATAACTATGACTCTTATTTTACCGGTTTAATCCTTGAAAAAACCAATCCCATCTGATCATGTTAAAAATCGTGTGTTGAAAAATTTCTCAGTATTAGGATTCGCCTTGAGGGACCTTGTATGTAAAATAAACTGTCATTACATTAAATAAAATATGATTGATTTAAAAAATATTTATATGACAAAAACATAAGCAACCTAATTACAAATTGATTACTAAACTTATCATATGTAAATTAATAATTTAATATTCCGATTATGCAAACATAACATATAACGAAACAAAATTTTTGATTTAGTGTTTGTATTGCTGCAACTGGCTTACCTTCTCTCTACATTTTACAAAATAAGAACTTTTATCTAACTTGTTAAATATTGGCAAATTTGAAACAGTATTTATACTATGCACGAGTAAATAAAATTTATACATATGTATGCATGTATGTATTAATTAATTGGAAATATTAAAAGAAGGTGCATCTTGAAAAGACATTGGAACCCAACGAATTAGAAATATTAAAGGAAGGGGCATCTTGAAAAAACTATGAGGCCAAATTCTTTCTAGTTGTCTAGTTCTTTATTCCAAGCTTTTTCAAACTCGTAACAGGATCGTTTTTATTTTGGTTTTTTTATCTGGCCTCCACAACAAGATACATATGTCTAATATGTAACCCAGTATTTACACGTACAAGTTACTTGCAAGAAAGTTGCAATACATACAAAAATTTTACTAACACATTGAAATATTTCTACTTGCTTGTTTACTTGCAGTTCAACTTGCAAGAAAATTTTGCTGCCAGTAATTTGAGCAAGTAATTTGACATATTGAGAAATTCACAAAAAAAATTTGTTGTTTTGATTTTTTTTTTTTTTAATTTAAAATTTTTGAATTTTGTTTTGAAAAAATTAAACTTAGCAAACTTATGGTTTCTAAAATTTATAAACAATTATATATATTGCTAGTTGTTTTCTTCTCAAAGACATTTTCAAAATTTAACTTGCTAAACGCCTACGTCATAATAGCAAGTAATTTGACATTTCGAAAAAATAATTGACAATTAATATTATACAAACTTGCTTGCAAGTAACTTGTATGTGTAAATGCTGGGTAAACAAAACATAAAATTTTTTTTAAAGTAAAAATTGAAAAATATTTTAGAATATTTATTTGATTATTTTTTTTGTAAAAAAAATTCAAACTTAAACCTAAAAACTCACTAATTATAAATTGAAATCAAATTAATGTATTTTAATTTCATAACTTTTTAATATTGATTATATTATGTGGGGCCTAGATCGAAAACATTCAAAAAGCAGATTGTCGTAGTTTCAAACAAAAGTGAATTCCAAATATTAGTTTAGGAAAATAGCTAAGCCATAAGAAAATATTTCACTAAAAAGGACATACCAAGAACTTAAAAAACATATTCAAAACTAAACAAACAGCTAACAACTATATTCAAAGCTAAATATTATTAACTGAAATAGCAACTACAGAGTATAAACAAATATTTAACAGTTGAAATAAAATACTGATTTTCACACTCGGAAAAATAATGCTGCCATTGGAGATCCATAATCTCTAAGAAAGGAATTAGTGATCTTTCAAAAGTCTACAGCGTAGCTGATAGCTGATTATGTTTCGCAAATAATTTAGTTCACTAGTAAAAAAAAATCGTTACTATCGAGATTTCAAAAAAATAAAATTGTGTCAAATCAATGGTTTGTGTAACATTTTTCTCTTCAACAAGTGAAAATACTACTTTAAAATTATTTCAACAAGTGAAAATACTACTCTATTAAAATTATTTTTATTCATATACGAAACTATTTCAGAGATTGCATATATTTAGGATGAATCATTTATGCAGTCTTTGTATTGAAACAAAAATAAATTGAAGGATGGGTTAACATAATGTTCGATTTTCAAGTTTAATTGTGGGAGTTAAGAAAACAAAAAAATTTTTAATTGTGTGAGTTAAGAAAAACAAATTATATTTTTTAATGGCATGAAATTTTCTATTAGCTTTCTCCGTTTATAGAAATTTGAAAAAGTTTGCAGTTTCGTGAATATAATGTGCCAAAATTTCAAATTTTAAAAATTTTTAGTGCGATAACTTGAGAGTGGTGGGAAAAAGTTTAAGAAAAAGTTTACTTCTATTGAAATGAAATATTTATTAGTGTCCAAAAGCTGATATTTTAGACTTTCCCAACCTGGGATCTAGAAGAAAAAGACGGGCGCTGGTGCAAGATGGTATCTGCGATTCCTGGAACAGGGGAAATCACCCAAAGAGGCCCGAAAATTGGCAGAACAGGGAAAGACAACGGTGGGTGATAACACAAAAAGAATCTCGCTAGAACAGGGGGCGCGAATCACAGACCCCGCAAGAAGAGGAGGCGAAAAGGAGAAGATCGGCCATGAAGAGAGAACCGAGAGCAAGCATCGCCACTTAAACTGAACCGGGAAGCAGCTACGCCGGCATTTCTAAAACCGTGCGGGTTGCTGTGTTACCCAAGTGTTGATGCTGAGCCAGATGGATCTCACCCACCTTGAAGATTTGATTGTTGACGATTTGGCCAATGTATGGAATGTCATCATTCACTTTGAAGGTATACACTTCAGGCCGGGTATGCTACCCATCGACTGTTCCGTACTCATCGACACTTCTGTATTAAAGGCGTGGAAGGGGCCGATGTTGGTGGCACAGAGGGGAGCCGACATCCCTATACCAGACACTAACACCCTGTCCCAAGTAACAATTTGCAAGAGTAATACCCTAAAAAATTGACCAAAACTCTCATACCACACTCCAATACTCTTATAATTTATTTTTCTTTTTTTTGTTTTTATGCAACTCTCGTAAGGTTCTTATAATGAAGACTTACCACTTAAAATTCTGTTACTCTCATAACAAAACTACTTTCAGCAAGCCATAAAAAATTTTAATTCCCATAAAGCATTTTTTATAAGATATCAACTCTTATAGAATTTTGTTCTTAAAAGAATTCCTTTATAAGTCTAGCTGTTAGGCACGGTCATTTTTCCTTATCTAACCCTAATGAGACTGAGAATTCGTTTTTTTAGAAAGAAGTCCGAAAAATATTTATTGTACAGAAATTATTAAATTAAAGTTAATAAAATGCAAAATTATAGTTTTATTTGAATATAATAAAGTTTTAGTTGAAATTTATGCATATTAGTATATTTATTTTGCTTAACAATTCTTAAATTTTAAAATTTTTTTGTAAAAAAAAAGAAATAAGATATTATAGAGTTAAAAATATGTATAAAAATTTTTTAAATTTTAATTATTTTTAGTTGGCGTTGCTTTTTTTCGAAGTACAATATCAATTTTTATCAATAAAATTTTAATGCCAGCAACTTTTTGATTTATAATCATGACGAAAAAATTATTTTAATTTGCCATATTTATAATTTTATAATATCAAATTTTTGAATACAAACATTTATTGATTACATATCATATACGTAAACTTATGTATGTATATTTTGTTTCATTTTTGTTAAAAAAATAATTATTAAAAGCGGAGTAGATATATTTTTTATTAAGTTCGAAGTAAGACCGATATATTTATTCTACAATGTATTGCTTTCTCTTTCTAGCAACACTATTATAAATGGCTTGTGAGAGTTATATGCTTTAAAAACTCTTTTAATAGGAGCTTAACTCTAGTAATTGCGCTCTTTTGTTCTTATAAAAATCTCACTAGGGTCTTTTAGTGTTCTACAAGACTGAAATTATAAGAGTAATATTCCTAAAGAATTCTTAATATAGTTCTACAAGAGTCTTATGAGATAAAAATTGTTACTTGGAGTACTTGCCCAGAAGCACCGACCAGAAGTGGAAAAGACGCTGAAAATTCTCCAGACTCAAGGGAATACACTCCCGACCTTGCAAGTTGCTGCTCAAAAGGACCCAAGAGGCTACCCAAGGAGAGTGTGAATCTTACGTTCCTGCCCCACTCAGCGTGGGAGAAGAATAGATGGAGGAGAACCTTTCAAAGGTAGGACGCGGAGGATGAGGAAAGAAGACCCCCGTCATGATCGGTTGAGCGGATGGCTGAAGACCTGGAACTCATAGGAGAGAACCAGCTAGCCCAGGTGAACCCTCAACACGCCTAAACGCCTTCGGCAGTAATGGCAAGAATGTTCACCCAGCAACAACTGGGGCTGGTAATCATCCAAAAGCCCTGGGTACACAGAGCACAAATCAGGGGTTTGTCTATTAGAGTTTCACAGGTAATTTATGATCGTGAGCAGAATCTACCTAGAACCTGCACTCTAGTAGGAAAAAATATTAGTTATATTCTACTTTCAGAATTCATGACGAGCAACTTGACCTTAGCGCGAACACACCAGCGGTATATAAAAGATAGTGTGATAGGCATAGCGGACACGGTAGTGGCCGCGAGACTGCATAGGGCGCTGGCTGCTTTGACTTCGCTAAAAAGGTCGGATGGGATTTACGCGACGAATGAAGAGCAAAGAGCTCTCTGGAGACTCATTTTCTGGGCACAGAATTTTGTATCACTCACCCAATGATTTGTATCTAACTCACCCTGCATATTACTTAATATTAGTATAAAAATAGTATTAAAATAATTATATTTTAAATGCAATATACATATAGCCGCAACAAATATCAATATAAAAATACTTATAAATTATTAAATTAACAATAAACATACATATTATATTG